TCTTCCTAATGTTTAGGTGGAATCTTCTTTCTTGTAGTTTGGATCCATTGCTCCGTGTCCGCTTCTCTGGAGCAGCAGAAAACAACCTTTCTCCCTCCTCTATGTGACATCCTTTGATATATTTGAACATGGCTATCATATCACCCCTTAACCTCCTCTTCTCCAGGCTAAACATGCCCAGCTCCCTTAGCCGTTCCTCATAAGGCATCGTTTCCAGGCCTTTGACCATTTTGGTTGCCCTCCTCTGGACACGTTCCAGTTTGTCAGTGTCCTTCTTGAACTGTGGTGCCCAGAACTGGACGCAGTACTCCAGGTGAGGTCTGACCAGAGCAGAATACAGTGGCACTATTACTTCCCTTGATCTAGATACTATACTCCTATTGATGCAGCCCAGAATTGCATTGGCTTTTTTAGCTGCCGTGTCACACTGTTGGCTCATGTCAAGTTTGTGGTCAACCAAGACTCCTAGATCCTTTTCACATGTACGGCTCTCAAGCCAGGTGTCACCCATCTTGTATTTGTGCCTCTCATTTTTTTCCCCAAGTGCAATACTTTACATTTCTCCCTGTTAAAATTCATCTTGTTTGTTTTGGCCCAGTTCTCTAATCTGTCAAGGTCGTTTTGAAGTGTGATCCTGTCCTCTGGTGTGTTAGCCACCCCTCCCAGTTTGGTGTCATCTGCAAATTTGATCAGGATGCCCTTGAGTCCATCATCCAAGTCGTTGATAAAGATGTTGAATAAGACCGGGCCCAAGACAGAACCCTGTGGCACCCCACTAGTCACTCTTCTCCAGGATGAAGAGGAACCATTGATGAGCACCCTTTGGGTTCGGTCAGTCAGCCAGTTACAAATCCACTGAGTGGTAGCATAGTCAAGACCGCATTTTACCAGCTTCTTTACAAGAATATCATGGGGCACCTTGTCAAATGCCTTGCTGAAATCAAGGTAGGCTACATCCACTGCGTTCCCTTCATCTACCAGGCTTGTAATTCTGTCAAAAAACGAGATCAGGTTAGTCTGACATGACTTCTTTTTCAGAAATCCATGCTGACTATTGGTGATCACAGCATTTCTTTCTAGGTGCTCACAGACTGTTTGCTTAATGATCTGCTCCAGAATCTTCCCTGGTATTGATGTCAGACTGACTGGGCGGTAATTATTTGGGTCCTCTCTTCCCCCCCCTTTTTTTTTTATATATTTCAGCAATGTTTATTGAAAGATTTTGCTACCAGAGTGAAATGAAGCAGCTCATCCCCATCATTAAAGTGTACACCTCTTGTGTGTGGGTGGTTACATAGGGATCTACACTTATCTCTAAACTTTGGATATAGAAGGAATGATAGATACATCCTCTCCAAGCATTGTTGGACTACAATTCCCATCATCGCTGATCATTGCCTGGGGTTCATGGGAATTGGAGTATGATCTCAAATTAGGAGGGCACCATCTTGCTTACAATTGCAGTAACCATTCAGAAGGCATGAGTGCATTATTTTGCCATTTGGATGGAGAATGAGTTATATCAGAAGCAAACAAACAAAGTCTATGGAAATGAATTATATAAATAAGTAGCAGGAGAAATCATCGTCATTTTAACAGTATGAACATCGGATTTAAACCCCCAATCATGGGTTCTTAAACCCCCAAACATCTCCCTTTGTGGCGTCCTTCCAATTATCATCCAGAAAACACACACACACTGCAAGGGGGTCGATTTACTGCTTGTACCCCCCATGATTTGGGACACTCCGACCACCTAGTATTATTTTTCACTCAGTCACCTTTCTCCGCGTCCTGTTAGTGGCCTAGACAGACTCGTGTCACCAGGAACCGCACTTCAAGGACCACACTTCGCTTTGCCAGTGGCTCTGAGCCCCAACGTCTCATGCACTCAAACATTCACTGGAGTGTCCCCATACACATAAAAAAAAGCCTTATTAGACTTTACCGATTGGTAGGGTGAGTGTTGCTCCCAGAACAGGGAGGAAAGAGTCAAATGGCACCGAGGTTTGGTTCAGAGAAAGAGTTTATTCTGCTCTCCGGATAGCAGAAGGCACTGCGTGAATCAGTTCACAGCAAGCACAAAAGCAAGAGAAATTGCATACAGTATATATATCCTCCAGGCACCCTCTCCCCCTTTCCCCAGGAATCCAGACACGTAAGCTTATACACGTAAGTTGACATCACAGATGTTCCTGCTCCTGTACTCTTAACCATTGCTGACACAGATGGCTTACTCTATATTTGTTATAATTCCTCATAGCAATCCCACCTGATCACTGCATCTCACCGTTTTTTATTTATTTAAATTTTATTTATTTATTTATTTATTTATTTTGGTAAGAAGAGTTGAAGATGTTGCAACAAATTTTAATGGGTACCAGTGATCAATTCAGATAGTTCAAGAATTGACAGATGCAGCAATTGGAGAAAAAGAAAGTGAGGCTTATTGCTGAGCAATAATTGACCCAGTGGAATCTTTTCCAAAAGACTGGGCCCCGAGCTCTGTTGCCCAGGGGTTTTTATACCTGAGTACATACATCACAGATCATGACATAATCAAATACAATTGCGAATGGAAGCAAAATAAGCTAATGAGCGCATACAAGCCTTGCTCCTGACCGTACAAAGAGTTCTCTCCCAACTTCTGCTTTTTAGTTTGAACATGCAGTCTTGGGGCAGCCTTGACCTTTCTCCTAGATTTATTGCAAGAATAGAAACTTAAGGCAAGAAGGAACTTTAACTGTTACTCCCAGGCGGCCATCTGTTTATAAGGGACATTTTGCGGTTAGCACCTTCCTGTTTCACTGCATAGACTTTGTCTGGACAAGGGGGGAAGTGCCAGCACACCAGATTTATCGCTTCACTTCTTGTAGGGAGAGAACAAGGAGGTACTGGGACAAAGTTCATGTAAACTTTGCAGATTTAAGCAATTTGCTGTTAAGCTAAGCAGAAGCTTTCATGATTCAAACATGGATTATAAAATCATTATAAAAATATCTGGTTATATTCAATATATGAATATATTGATAACTGATAACTGATTATATGGATAACTCATTATATGAAAAGCATAAGGGTAAAATTCCTCCAGGTCCTGCTTCAAAGATAGTTTTTTGTAAGAAGAGTTTAAGATAGTAGAGAAGAAGAAGAAAAAGAAGAAGAAGAAGAAGAAGAGGAGGAGTTTGGATTTGATATCCCGCCTTTCACTCCCTTTAAGGAGTCTCAAAGCGGCTAACATTCTCCTTTCCCTTCCTCCCCCACAACAAACACTCTGTGAGGTGAGTGGGGCTGAGAGACTTCAAAGAAGTGTGACTGGCCCAAGGTCACCCAGCAGCTGCATGTGGAGGAGCGGAGACGCGAACCCGGTTCCCCAGATTAGGAGACTACCGCTCTTAACCACTACACCACACTGGCTCTCCGCTCTTAAGGTAGCAGGGGTACTGTGTTCTCTTCATGTTCATGTATGTGTTCTTGTATCACAGAAAGATGTCTAGTAGACATTCCTAAAGGAGAGCGCAACAACCTTTGCCTATTCTTTTCTAAAACTGAGCAACTAGGCAGGACCCATGTCAGTCTGTGAGGGCAGCATTGAGCATCAGATAAATTTGCGGGAATGTAGTTTGATTACACATGAAAAACCAGCTATCTGGTAAGAGCACATGAGCATAATTAAAAGTAATCTGTTGAACACGTGAACAAGTCCAAGTTGGCCTTCCTGTGTCAGTGAAAGACAGCGAGTTGCTTTCTTACTGCAGTTCACAATCTGAACACGAGGTGTCTGGCGTGGCTGCAACTGTAGGTGTGTATAACGAGATTGCATTGAGGGGTAACTTTTGTGTCACTGTTCCCCAATCATGGAGATTGGTATAACCAATGATACCTTCAAGAATCCATTTAGAAAACCACTTTCCCATGTGTATGGCATGTGCCATATGAAAGGCTGTGTACAAACAGGAATCATACAATTTTCTAAGGCAGTGTGCATATCACATGTTTCACTCAGACAAAAATGAGAGACAGTAGGAAATTTAGCTAAATGCATCCACATATTATAGCTATGACTAGAAGAAGTGTCAGGAGGAAGATAGATACATTGAGTAAAAGGTAAAGGTACCCCTGCCCATACGGGCCAGTCGTGTCTGACTCTAGGGTTGTGCGCCCATCTCACTTAAGAGGCCGGGGGCCAGCGCTGTCCGGAGACACTTCCGGGTCACGTGGCCAGCGTGACGAAGCTGCTCTGGCGAGCCAGCACCAGCGCAACACACGGAAACGCCGTTTACCTTCCCGCTATAAAGTGGTACCTATTTATCTACTTGCACTTAAGGGTGCTTTCGAACTGCTAGGTGGGCAGGAGCTGGGACCGAACGACAGGAACTCACCCCGCCGCGGGGATTTGAACCGCCGACCATGCGATCGGGAAGCCCTAGGCGCAGAGGTTTTACCCACAGCGCCACCTGCGTCCCTTGATACATTGAGTACTAGGTATCAAAAAAAAATAACAAAAAAACAAATAATATACATGTTAAAAGCAGCATAGAGTTCATATGTAGCTGAGTAATTAGAGCTACTAAAAATGTCTCTGGTGCTTCTGGAACATCATAATGCTGAAACCGTGTCCTGGCATCAGAGTCCAAGGTCTTCAGCATTCCCCATGTCACCTTCGGGCATCCCTCAGCCTTTCGAGGATGAGGATGGGTGCAATGGACTTTCGCACAGGGCTGCTGAGCCTGTAGATGCAGAATCAGGGTCATGGTCCTTGCAAAGTCCGGAATGGGATTCTGCAGGCCTTGGTGCAAGCGCATGTCTTGGCCTATAGGGATGGATACAGCGACCTGGAATCCACAAAGGACCTGAGGAAGTAAGAACAGTAGGGCATCCTGCCCCTAGGTAATTAAAGGAACAGGTCCCTCTCACTGCAGGTTGGGGAGCTGCTGGTACGTCACTAGAGGGCATTCCAGAGGTCGTTCCAGAGATACCTCTTCCCTACAATGGCATTTTGTTACGGTAAAATCTGGGTGCGGGGCTACTCTGCCACCCAGCTCATCGGACTAGGTCCGCGGGTCCCTGCAGAAGAAAATGAGCTCAGCCGGAGACAGGAGCAAACTGCAGAAGATCCAAGTTTATTGCGCAACAGGTTCAAGGCGAGATTGAACAGCGAGAAAGGGGTGACATGAACTTTTGAAATTTCCCTCCATGTCCCAGAATACAGTGCAAAATACATCCCAGTTACATCATGAATACATTAAGAAGAGGTTGGGTTACACAGATTACATCACGAATACATTAGGAAGAGGTTGGGTTACACCGGATTAACATATGGAGGAGGGAGGGGGGAATATGCAGAGCTGGAGATATGCGCAGATAAGCACATCCTGAGAAGACAATGGTCCATGTATGCATAGTCTGTCACCTGGCATCGCCCGGAGGAAGGGCTTGGCAGAGCGATTTGACAGGATTAGGGTCTTGACACCTTGCTTGAGGGATTATGGAGGACAGGGGAGGTGTCATGGAGTCCTAGAGAAATTGAGCAAATTGGCACGTTGATTTTCTATGAATGTTATAGATTTTAGTCCCTTTTGACATTGACAATTGGAAATAAATGGATATATTGTAGCGAAGAAGAAGGTGAAGAAGACATGCCCCCCCTTCCGTATCAGTCCCCCATTCGGAGACAGATTTGCATTAAAGTTCTGTAAGAACTTGCAAATCTTTTCTCCGCACCCTAAATCTCGGTGAATGTAGGGGTGCCCTGTGAGTGGGAATAGGCTCTAATGGAAAAGGAGGTGGGTTGAGCAGGGCAGCAAAAGAGGGAGCAACACGGACGAATACAATGTATGCGCGTGTTATATAGATATGCGCTAAATAATAACTTGGTATCTACCGTACCAGATGTGTGGGTTTATGCAAACCTGAAAGGGACTTGCAAGCCATGCCTCTTACGGTCATTTGCAAGTATAGCAGTGCAGATAGCTGGATATAGGGTATTATATAAAAGAACACCTGTTGTATTTTGTTACTAAATTACTTGTGGCATTCTAGGTCTTGGGAGAAACATTTTCAGTAGTGGTGTATGCTTTACATTTAGCAGGAAGGTCCACTACTGACTGAAAAAATGCAGTTTGCTTTTTAGCCCCACCGTTTTTGTGTTTTCAGGTGCCAAGCTAGCTCTTCTGTGGTCTCACACCGGCATAGTGGTACAGTAACACATCCTGTTGAATCCCCTCAGGGCTTTCATTTAACCATGTCGCCTGGCACTCACCATAGCTGGCACAGGTTTGGACATATCATGAGAGATATGTCTTTGCCTTGGCCTTTCTATGGGGTTTTATTATTTCAGGCTCTGGTCTTGCACTCATGGAAAGTTGCTCACTTGCTCTTAAAGGACCAAAAGCTAGTTGCAGCCTGGATACACGTGCCCAATTCCAGCAGAGTCCAATTTGAATTTATCTTGCCCCATGGTTCTCAACTTTTCAAAACCAATATGTTAAAACAAAACCATTCTTAAAAAGGGCCCTTGTCCAAATGAGTCAATTTAACTCTATAAGGGACCATTCCTGCTACATCAAGGCATATACACGTTTCTTGTTATCAATAATAATAATAATAATAATATGTTGGAGATGTAAGGAAAGTGAAGGAACCTTATTCTACATATGGTAGTCGTGTCCTCAAATAAATAAATAAAATTTGGGACATGATCTACACCCATTTTCATTTGGCATTCTAATCAAAACATCTCAAATAATAATAAAGAGCGTTGCTTCAAAGCTGCCTGATAAAATATGGTTCCAATAATAATACTTGGTTGTGGTTAGATTAATTTCACAGCTATACGGGAAAACCAAGATTAATAAATAAATAAATACAGAAAAATTGCTACTTAAAGACAGTACTGAATCTGCAAGAAATACAGAGAAGTCATAGAAGAGATTTGAAATAGTTTTCTGGAACAGAAAGAGAGAAATAGTAAAAAGTAATTTCTTTCTGGGAACTTCATGTATAGAAAAACATTAAATACATAAATAAATGGGTAGGGAAGGTTGACACTCTGCAGAGTGCCAGGTGGGACAAGGAAATATGATCATCAGTTGACTCAATTTAAACATAGCCTGCTCTATCGGAAAGCATGTAATATATGAGAATCCTCCATGAAAAAAACTTGGGGTGTAAGCCATATCCTTCTGTTGTTCATAGTTATGTATTCTACATTATACAGAAACAATTACACACAGAAATTTTTGCCCCCCCCCCTTTGTGGAGATAACACATTGTGAGGAGAACCTGAGCTTACAGGGTTAAACAGCTCAGACTGTACGCCCTGCCTACAGTTGGGAGGGGGGAGCTACGTCAGTTCCGAGAGACTAAAGTCTTTGTTCTGTCTCTCTACTTTCGCTTTTGAGGAGAGAGGACGTGTTTTCGCGATGCTGTTCGCTGTGATAGATAATGGATAGCCTGCTGTAAATAAAGCTGCTTTTAGCTGCTAAGATCCTGTCTGGACTTTATTTTAAGTACACTGAAGAATGCACTGGAGTGTTTTGGTTTCCTCTAGCCGCTGACGAACTCTGCTATGCTCAGAAGTATCGGAATGTGCCCTTTGGAATGCAGAGGCCTACGCAATGGGGAAGCGTGCCGCACGCTTATCTGAGCAATAAATCAATATATCTCAGAGGTTATGGGGGCAGTAATTGCAATTAGAGGAAGCCTGCTTTGATGTGCTGTGTGCTTAAGAAGGCTGGAAAACTGAGAAGCTGTTGTTTTGCTGCCGGAATGCAAAAGTCCTGCCTTTGAGGCTTCGCCTGGGAGAAAAGCAGGCAAGCTGTGTGCTGCAAAGCTGGCTGCAAGCTGTGTGCTGCAAAGGGACGCCGGAGGCCTATCCTCGGAGCCGGTTGGTACGCGTGAGTACTCCAAAGCCCCAGGGGGGGACCGGGGGAGGAGATGGCAGAACTCCAGGAGAGTTTCAACGTCCCCTTTGAAAGATTAAATCAGCAAAATTGGGAGGACTGGTCGAGAAGAGCACGGGCGTGGCTCACAGGGAAAGGCCTGTGGGACTGTGTTCAACGTGAACCTACCCCAGCAGCTGCTGGTGCTGATGAGGCAGCCAGAGTGCGGGCAGCTACAGCCCAGAGAAGGGATCAGAGGACTTATGGGCTTTTAATCCTTGCCCTGGATTCATCCCAGCTCCCTCATGTTGATGGTCTGACCACTGCAAAAGCCGTCTGGGACGCTTTGGAGCGTGTCCACCAGAGAACGACGGCTGGGGCCAAGATCCATACTACTAGGAGCCTTTTTGAGTTGAAGCTTCAGCCGGGGGGGTCAATGCAGGAGCATATAACCCAGATGCTGGCAGCGTTCAACAGGCTCCGGCAGCTACAGGTCCCTCTCTCTGAGGAGCTCAAAGTGTACATTCTTTTGAGCTCATTGGACAGGAGCTATGAGACGTTGTGTCTGACCTTGGAAGCGATGCCTGCGGACCAATTAAATCTGGATTACGTGGCGGGCCGCCTCTGCGACGAAGAATCCCGCAGACAGAGAGCTGGGGGGAAAGCTCCAGGCCCAGGCTGTGCTCCCAGGAGTGGGGGTGCAGGGAATACAGGAAGAGCCGGAGGGGAGACTGTGAGAGCTTTTGCTTCTCGCCGCTGTTATCGCTGTGGCTCCCCCTCCCATCTGGTGAGAGAATGTCCAGTGGAGGAACAGCCCAAGGCCGTCTCCCGTAGCAACCAGATAAAGAGCTCGTCTTCAAAGCGTGGGAAAGGCAAGCCGAAGGCAGCTGGCAGAGACACTGAACGTAAACATTTGGCTGCCTCTATGGCTGTAGTCAAAAGTTGTCAACAGGATGCTGAGCTGGCTTTTGTCATAGACAGTGGATCATCGCATCATCTCGTGCCATCTGGTGGATTCCTGGAGAACTGCACCTCTGTAAAATCTGGGAAGACTGTCTGTTTAGCAGATGGGACTCGACACCCACTCACGCAGAGTGGCTCACTGTTTTGTTCTTTCTTGCAGGACACAATCCAGGCTTTTGTTGTTCCAGGACTGTCCTGCGCGTTGCTGTCTGTCAGTGCACTTCTTGCTGAGAACTACAGAGTGTGTTTTGAGAACAATAAGTGTTCTATTTCCAAGAATGGACAGCACCTAGTCAGTGTTGAATGTAAAGACAGGTTGTTTGTGATAAATGCTTCTTTTGCAGGTCCAGATGACACGGATGACACGGAGGAGGCTCAAGCGCAGTGTGCCAATGTTCCAGTTCATGATGCGTGTCAACATCTCTGGCACCGACGCATGTCACACGTGTCGTGGGGGTCGGTGAGAAGGATCCCAGAGTATACGCAAGGGTGCAAAATGAAACCATGTGCTAAGTTTCTAGATTGCAGAGCGTGCAAGTCCGCAAAGGTGAAAACGTGCACATACCCTAGGTCTGAGAGGGTGACCACTAGGGCTTTTCAATTAATTCATGCAGATTTGTGTGGACCGTTTTCTGTGAGCAGTTTGGGCGGAGCCAAATATTCGCTGGTTCTGATTGATGACCATACTAGGAATTCTTGGTGTTTCACGATTCGGCGCAAAGATGAAGCTGCGCCGCTAATCAAAGACTGGATTGCGGCTGTGGAACTGCAGTTTTCCACACGGGTGCAAAACTTTCAGAGCGATCGCGGTGGGAGTTCACCGGGTCTGCACTGCAAAGTTTCTTCCGCAAAAAGGGATTCAACACAGGTTGACTTCTCCACACAGTCCCCAACAGAATGGGATCGCGGAACGCAGGAACAGGACTCTAGGGAGATGTCCGCAGCTCTTTTGTTTGATGCCGGGCTCCCACAGCGCTTTTGGGGGAGGCTTGGCGAACGGCCAACTTTGTTCTGAACAGGTCGTTCAATTCAGTAGTAGGTGACACACCGTATTTCTTGCTTCGTGGCAAGAAACCGAAAGTGCACTACTTCCGCGTTTTTGGCTGTGAGGCTTGGGTCCTCATACCAAAGGCCAAACGCAAGAAAGGTGAACCCAGGTCCCAGAAGATGATTTTTGTGGGTATGAGCCAGGGACCAAGGGGTGGAGGTTTGCTTATCCGTCAGGGAATCAGTCCAGGATTCTGCTCAGCAACAGTGCTGAATTCTGTGAGCAGAGTGGCTGGGCAAGGATACATGGGAACCCTGACATCCTGTCAGAGAGTCTGCTAGACTCTGCTGATGAAGGAGAGGAAGAGGTTGAACCTGCTACTGAGGCTCAGAGTCCAGGCCCAGTGCAGGCAGAGGGGAGAACTTCTCCCAAGGCTGTGAAGAGTGAGCAACGCAGTGCTCCATCTTCCCCACAGGTTCGGCTGAGAAGTCCAGAAGGCGCAGTAAGTCAGAGGGGGAGCTCTCTGATGCCAAGGACGTTCTGGCTGGCCCTAGTGGGTCAGAGGGGGTTCCTGAAGTAGTGCTGCGCCGTTCAACGCGGACGACCAAGGGGAACCTCCTGAAAGGTTTGCCGTCACTAGTGTGTGGGTCGGAATGGCACAGTGTGAACCCGAGAGTTTTGAGGATGTTCAGAAACTGCCTCAGGAAGAAGCCAGGAAATGGCATGAGGCGATGCAGAAGGAGATGAACTCAATGGAGTCTCTAGGTGTGTTCTCCTCACGAAGTTGCCGGTGGGTGAAAAGGCAGTGGGTAGCCGCTGGGTTTACCGTCTTAAGCCCACAGCGACAGGAGAACCGCAGTATAAGGCCAGATTAGTGGCGAGAGGATTCACGCAGCAGAGGGGGTGCATTATACGGAGAGTTATGCGCCCACGTGTAGGAGTGAGTCTCTACGCTTGGTCTTGGCCATCGCTGCACAAAGAGGTTTGCTGGTGCATCACTTTGATGTGGATGTTGCTTACTTGAACTCAGACCTCCAGGAGGATCTGTACATGCTTCCTCCTCCTGGGTTTGAGGGCAATGAGCGAGGTACTGTGTGGAAACTTCACAAGTCAATTTACGGCCTGAAGCAGTCGGCCAGGAATTGGAACTTGTGCCTGAATGAAGCTTTGGAGAAGCTAGGTTTCAGGAAGAGTCTTGCTGACAGTTGCCTGTTCCTTAGAGGATCAGGAGACTCACAGGAACTGGTGTTGTTTTACGTTGATGACATCATCCATGTTGGAAAGGCAGACAAACAGGTGCAGAAGTTTGCCAAAGAGCTTGGGAAACGGTTTCAGCTCAAGGACCTGGGTGCAGTAAAGATCTACCTAGGCGTCCAGATAGCGAGAACTGAGGATGGTAGCTTCTTGCTCAGTCAGAAAGGCAAGATTGAGCAGTTGCTGGAGAAGTTCAGAATGTCCGATTGTGCAGGAGTTCGGACACCCATGGAGACGAACTTCGTGAAAAGATAGCCAGCAAGCAGAAAGTGCTGAGTTTGAGAATGCTGAGCTCTTTCAGTCAGCTCTAGGTAGTCTGTTGTATCTGTCCCAATGGAGCAGACCAGACATTGCCTTTGCTACCAACCTGCTAAGTAGGGAAGCGTCAAAGCCCAGTGTGAGTGCTTGGCACGGTATCAAGCGGGTACTGCGCTACCTGCAGCATACCAAAGACTTCTGTCTTAAGCTGCCAGCTGAAGGTGAGGCGAAGCTCACATGCTATGCGGACAGTGACTGGGCGAACTCGCAGGACCGCAAGTCTGTGTCTGGGTTGGTGATAAAGTTTGGGAAGTCACTGGTTGGGTGGAAGTCCCGGAAGCAA